TAAAAAACATTTTTAACTATACCTGTGGTCTAAATAAATCATAGACAGTCTGTTAAAATGGGAATGAAAATGTTAGTATAGTGTAGTACTTACCAAAAAATATTCAAGAACTAGTTGAATACCTAAAATAATTCGGGACCCAACTAGTATAGTACCTATAAAAATCCAGGACCCAACTAGTATAGTACCTGCGATTAGCCACTAGTACTCGGGACCCAACTCGGATGCGCTGGTCACCCCCAGCACTTCGGTACCCTTGATAATGATTTTTTTTATAATGTATGCCATAAATATACTACAATAAGTTCAATTCCAAATATCATAAACGGGTAAACCCTAGATTGGAACAGGATAATAACATAATAAAAATAATTTTAAATATTAATGATTATGAATAGTCACTACTCACCAGCATTATATTTTTCATTTATGCTGATGAATATCACGACAAAAATATAATACTTAAAATTAATAATTTTTCAATGGTGCATAGTGCAATWGCTGGTTCACCGTTGAACATTATTATAGTTTAATAKTGTATAATATAAACTATACCATAATACGCAAGTCACAACGTATAGAATTTRCATGTACAACTTTGACCAAACAGCTAGTTTAATCAAACTACAATAKTTAAAACAAATTACTTGCCTAATTAGATATATATAAATATGTAGGCGGTTGAATTATTCCTTGAAATTGTTTCAATTTTTTCAATTTCAAACTAAATATGTATTGTGTCATTGTGTGACTACTAGCTGACCACGTATTATTTTTTTTCATAGGAACCCTATATTTGCGCTCTGCTGTTCTGTTTTTTCGTCTCCTGATGAACATTCTACKGAATGTTATTATGTCTGCATTAAAATTCGATTATACATACTATAACTATTTCCTATTTAGTATATGTATTGTTTTCTTTTAAAAAGTGAATATCTAAAAAATATTATTCATTTTGTAACTAAATTATAAATATGAGACAAATGTTATTTTTTGATAACACCTAAAAATCACCAAAAATATGTGGCTCACTGATTGTTATTGGTATTTTGTATTTTCTAACAAAATATGTTTGTACAGGTGGGACAAGTCCTTATTAGAATTATCATCAGTAACACGCAAACACATATTTATTAGATGAACACCGACACTGCAGTATAACAATAAACATTTATTTCATCATAATTGTCTATACCTTCTTACAACGAAAATAATTACTTTTTAAAACCAAAACAAAGTTAGATTTGATAAATTCAAAACTATAAATATACCTAAACATAAATTAATTGGGTATAAATAATACGCATGATATAATAATATAAATACAAACACTATATATAATATACMTATATGTATATATATATTTAAAAAAGCGGATAAGTGGATGTCGCTCTGCTGTACATTATGGGGTGGGGTGGATTTCTGACTAGGGTAGGTTAAATTTTAATGCAATGATAGGTATCAATGTACACGAAAAACATTCTGAACGGAGATGATTTGTCAGTCTATTATATTTAAATATTGTCATATATTCTATTTTGAAACAAATATTTTATTTTTCAATTAGGACGCATTTTGCATAAGGCATGGTTAATCAATTTTTCCAAAAACATTGCATGTAGTTATC